ATGTGCAGACCAAATTTTATGTAAAATGAATACAAATTGGTTGAGAAATAAAAAATTTAAAATTCTCATTATTTTCCGCCACTACTGTAAGAGCCATATTATGAGACTGTGCTTCAAACAAAGAGCCCCATAAAGGTCTTCCCCGTCGAAACAGGCATGCTGAATCTTCAGCTTCTCCAGGCGTTTGAGGATCCTTTGCATAGATGTCAATGGTGTCTGAAATATAGAATGGAGGGAAAAGCTTTTCTCCGGCTTCGGAAATCCTCAGAGATGGGTCGAACTCTGACTTCGGTGCAAAATTTGAAATTCGAGAAATTGTGTCGGTAAATATGGCGAATATTCCAGAGTGACGGGATAAATATTTCAAAGCATGCCGCAAATAATAGAAGTGCGATCTACTATCTTCGATATTTTTTGTAGTAGTTAGATGCCGAGCTTCGTCAAATATGAATAAAATCTTTAACGTCCGAATATTGTCAGTCGTTTGCATCTCGGTGCCTAATGTGTGTTCATTGCCAATCAGAGATTGGACGACACTGATCCAAATATTCGGTTCTACTTGCTGAAATAACATTTCCTTAATTTCGTTCATTCGCAACTCAATAGCTTTCCAAAACTTCTCTTGCGTCGATTTTGTATGGTTTTGAAGCCATGACTTGTGATCACCCTCAAATTGCTGTGAACGCTCAACACATGCCACGAGATATGCCAAGTATGTACCACAAATGATAATGCTATTTGCATCTTTTGATTTGTCAAGCAGTTTGTTTGCAATGTAAGATCTTGCAGGATGGCCGCTAGAGCTCTCTTCACGAAGACAGCAATAAACAGCTCTCACATTTTCAGCTATCTTATGTAAAAGCTTTGTCTTTCCAGTACCGCTCCCCTGAACCAAAGTCGTATATGGTGCATAAAATTCAGAGTCTATTTGGTATTGCTTAGCACAGGAATCGATAAATTGACTTCGAGTTTATCCGGATCTCGGAAAGGTAAATCAAATGCCTGTTCCACTACCCTTCTTTCTGCTTGCTCCCATTTACTCTCCATTGTATCGGCTAAACGTTTTGAGGAACCTTTAATTTGCAAAAAGTAGCGAGTCATCAGAAAACATTATATTAAACAGAAGATTGTAACCAACAAAAGAATTAGAATGCTATTAAGCTCAGCTATAGCACAAAACCACCTAATACACATTGTAAAAGCATTCGCAACCCAAACGCGTGTTGTAATGTATTCCAACTATTCTCCCTCTGTTGACCCACGGCTAACTCTACGAACCTCCGTTACACCTTTATTAACCATACTGTTTCTTATCACCTTCAAACGAGTTTACGTATAACCTAACCTTTGCTACGACTCTGCTCTATGTCCCAACCCTAATGCATGTCGTAATGAAATTCAACTATCCTCCCAATAAACGTGTATTCATTGCTCGCTTACATTGCTGTGACTTGAGCCATTTTTCGTACAGTTCGGGATTCTCTTTGCGCATAAATTCGAGAGGGTCAATGTTTTGTTTTTGTGATTTAGTGAATGGTAATAAAGAAGAGTCGCGATCTAGCTCTGCGCCGCCCAACTCAGCCATGTTTATACGTTTTACTTACACAAACATGTGATACTTC